TTACTAAATTTTGATCCCTGAAATATTTGGTAATACCAATGTTCACTTTGTCTGGTTTTGTTGCAGTATGCCCCATATATATTTATTTTTCTAAAGAATTTGGAAAAACGGCAAAGAAATTATATTTGATGTAAACCAACAGTATAAAATTTAATTTGTGGCAATAATTTGGTAATAGAAAATTAATTTATAGTAGTATAAAAATAACAATATTGGTAGAGAGAGTGTGTGGGTGGTTTTTTATAATCTTTGTATAAGAGCTTTTATAATAAAATATGTAATCATCATAATTTTTTTGAAATTTATCAATGCCACCAAAATCGTGTTCGGAAATCATCAGATGCTATTGATTGCATATTAAAGCTTTCGCTGCCAAGCCAAAAACCAATCAACCAACATAAATCTTCCACTGAAATTCGTTGATTGTGTTTCTCATTTCCTGTTTTCAAATACGCATTCTCGATTATTTGTTCCAGATTTAATACAGATTCTGCCCATTCAACAAGAGGCGAACGATAAAGGACCATGATATTGGCCAAATGAGGGTACGTTTTTTTCCATTTAAGATATTGTTTTACAGTAACCTCCCAAGTAAATGCTGGATATAGTTTACTTTTTATATTTGGACGCAAAACAAGAATATGATTCTCGTTACAAACAAATCCATCTTCATCAAAGATTGAATCTTTGAGAGGCAATATTTTATTCTCGTGTGCACAAGTATCATTTATTTTGATGTAATGCCCAAATTGTTCTTTGATCAAATATAATTGTCCTTCGTTACTAACTGTATGCACAACTTTATATCCGATATGGTTTTCGCCAAGGACTTTATCACCTATCTCAATATTTTGAACCATTTTTAGCGAACCGTTCTTCAACATTACTGGTGTATTTTCTCCAAAGCAGTAGAAGACAACACAAGGAAATCTACTTGGCATTTTTGAATTGAGACCAATTTTAATACGAGTTTGAATCTTGTTTTCGGCTTTTACAATAATATCCAATAGTTCTTTGGTATGAACAACTGCCTCCCTGAAATAACTCATCAACCCAATAAGACAAGTGTTCCATTTATTGCTAATTTTTGAGAATGTAGTACTACCAGAACTCATCAAAATTTGACGGACACGATTGTGGAATTTCTGCATTGATTCTTCATCAACACGTAAAAATGCCTGAGCAGTTCTCTCTTTTGTTTGTTCATTAATCAAATTCCAAACACCATCTTTTAGAGTAAATTCTTCATTGATACTTCTGATTTTTGGAAGAATTCTGACTTCAAACCCACACATTGAAAATAAAAGATTAGGGTTGTCTTTGGAGTAGACGCTACAAAAAGTATCTTCCCATTCAATAGTCGTAAGTGAGCGTGGCAATCGGTTTTTTATGTCCCAAAATACTGCCCTTCCTGCATTTACATCACTCTTAAACAATCTCATCCTACAATCTCTTGGCCAACATTTTTTGTTATTATATCCTACAATATTTTCTGAATTAGGATCAGGATGTTCAGTTAAATAACGTTGTATAAGATCTCTTGCCTCATCAGCGCTAAATCGGAAAAAGATATGAATTTTGTCTATATAACGACAATACAATCTTATTGGATGTCTAGTTTCTGTAGCAACGTCACGATATTGTAAGAAATCATTTGGCATATGTGGTGGCCCAGCCATTTCAGAAGCTCTTTGCAAACCAAGAACCAACAAATCAAGAATTAAACCATAATATTGGAATATAAAACTTGCAAACTGCAATCCACGTATTAAGCCATATGCATTAACATGATTCATGTCCTTATAATTAAGAAC